TTTCCATTTTCACGCTTAAATTTGCATCCATTTTTCGCACTTTTTTTTTTATATATATATATACTTCCACGAATCATGTCAATTTCTTATCTTTTGATAATGATGACATGGAGCCATCGGGACGTCAGGTTTCTTTTTTAACGTTGATTTCTGTTTTAAAATGTATTTCTATATAAATCGTTTCTTAAAGTTGCAGTGGAAATTTTTCCTTTGAGAAAATTGCTTAGAGTTGAACAGGGTCTAAAACTGCGCTAGAGGTGCTTACGTCCTTTCACTTGCAAGTCTTTTTTTTATTTCCGCGATGCAAAATGTTTGATATGGGATAACTGAAGTATACCAATCCGTACAAATGGTCAAATGTATATCAGGACAATAAAAAAACACGTACACAATGATATAGTACTCATGCCTTAGATAACTGTGGGTTACAGGAAATGTAAATATTGACCTTGAAGAGGAGTAGTTAATTTTATACACGTTCCGTGGCCATGAAAACAACATTTTCTGTAGCAAAAACAAAGTTAGCAAGAACCCCAGTATAAATCCTAGTGTTCCTGTGTAATTAAATCAGTGAAAAAGATGATGATACAGTTGTAAGTGAGGCTACCTGTTTAGATCACTTTTCACATTCGACTCAGAAAATTCTGAAACAGGCTGAAGCAAAATATTTTAAGTGACACAGTTTTTTGTAGCGTTCTAAATACATTCCTCCAGAGACTGGTTATGATAGTTGTCGCTGAAGAAATTTTGATCTGTTGAGGCTGGTAATAAAGAATTTGCGTTGTTTCAAGATTATTAAATGAAAGGGGAAGTAGACTTGTACACCAAGGCAACGTACTACTAGATGAAAGAAAGAAAATCGGGCATTGAACTAACCACCCTCGGGAGTTAAACTTAAACCATCACCAGTCACTTTCTCCCTTTTTCTTTTCGTTACCCGTTGCTGTACCTCTAAAAAGCCATATCTTTTTCCTCTTTCTTTTTAGTTGAGTGCCTTTTGAGATGCTCTTTTTTAATGTTCTAAGAAAAACGTAGGAATTTGGCGCGTAAATTGTACACGTCCTTTAATAATATCCGCTACACTTTTTAACGAAAACTTTTCGGATCAGTGTAAGAGTCTGGGAAGCTGCCCACCTACCCCTCCCTTGGCCAACCTTTTGTCTTGAGTGAAAAGTAAAGGTTAATGTTTTTCTAGGGGAGGGGTAGGTGGTTAGTTTCCCAGAATCTTTGCTGAAAAAAGAGAAAAAAGTAAGAACACAAACTTACAAAGGATCCTGTGTCGTGCAAACGGGCATTTAATAATAATTGTGGGAGTTACAGTGTAATAATGAAACTAACGCGTGAATCTCGAAGAAGGCAGGGAAACGTTGATATGAAGCAAATGAATTCGCGTTCCACCTTTTTTTAGCGATTACACCCAACTCGTATTTTGTTAAGGAGTGCATGCAAGTTTCAACATAGACAGGAAGAGAGAAAAAAGGAAAATTTGTCGCCGTTCTTTACATGTATTCACATCGTGATTAGCCGGTGCGCCGTGACTGGTCAATTTAGCGGGCTGCATTTCAATGCCTGGCTCACAAAAATTTAAAGCTTTTTTGGGTCGCTGAAATTATTCCCTTTAATAAAGGGACTAGAAGTATGAAAATTGTTAAATAAGCGTTTTTGCCGAATTATTCATAGCCATGATTTTGAAGAAATAACTGACAATTTCCTTGTGTTTACGTCCCTTTTTCCACCTTCACTATTTTTGTTTTTGTTAGTTTAATAACCACACAGCAGTTCAATAAGTACATAACAGATCAATAACCACACCAGTAGTTCAATGACCGCACATCAGTTCATTGAGCGTAAACTACATGCAGCTGCGGGAAAATAGCCACAAATACGTTAGTTATTTTTAATAAGAATGTGTAGTAAGTGGTAAATACTCATTTAGCTATGGTACGAGAACTAAATAGATAAATAGCTATGTTACACTGTTATTAAGTTCTAGTGAGCTCACTAATATAGACGTGAACAGACCTGGAAAGAGAGTCAGCGCCGAAAAGGGAAAACACCGACTCGGTCCGGAGAAAACTTCAACTAGAAACCCGACAAAGCGCGCGTTGATAAAGCAGAAAAAAATAAATAAACAGTTAACGGTGGGTGAAACCTTGTTTTTTTACTCTCTTTCCGCACGTTTCAAACCGTGGTACCACAGCTGGCCCTACGTGCCTGAGTCGACTACCATCAATCTGTGTTTAAAATTAGTCATTTTTTACCGTACAAGTCCTGAATTATTAGGGAGCTTTAGCAACAACGACAGCGACGGCCACGAAAACGTCGCTTAAAATGAAGTCGTGCTGCTTCAAACTTTATCGCGCTTATTCCATCTTGCTCGATTCATCAAATGTTGTCAATTTTCTCTGGAGTTGAATTGTAAAAGACTGTATCAAAATTCAGGAAAAGAAAAAGAAAGTCGTTGTCTGATATTTGAGATGCAAATTATCAGAGATAAAAGACCAACGCTCAACACTCAAGAGGACTCCATCCGTGCGAAACTTTTTATTCAATTGCATTTTTCCATTTTCACGCTTTAATTTGCATGCACTTTTCGGACTTTCTTTGCTATAAATACTCCCATGAATCACGTTAATTTCTTATTTTTTGACAATGATGACATGAAGCCAACGGAACGTCAATTTTCTTTTTTAACGTTGATTTCTGTTCTGAAATGTATTTCAAAATCTTTTCTTAAAGTTGCAATGGAAGTTTTCCTTCGGGGACATTGCTTAGACTTGAACAGGGATTAAAACTGCGCTAGAGGTGCTTACGTACTTTCACCTGCAAATCTTTTTTTGTTTTATTTCCGCGATGTTAAATGTTTGATACGGGATAACTGGAGTAAACTAATCCGTACAAATGGTCAAATGTATATCAGGACAAGAAAAAGACACGTACACAATGATATAGTACTCATGCCTTAGATAACTGTGGGTTGGAAGAAATGTTGATATTGACCTTGAGGAGGAGTACGGTTATTTTTATGCACGTTCCATGGCCATGAAAACAACATTTTCTGTAGCAAAAACAAAGTTAACGGGAACCCCAGTATAAATCCTAGTGTTCCTGTGTAATGAAATCAGTGAAAAAGATGATAACACATCAAAGTTGTAAGTGAGGCTACCTGTTTAGATCTTTTTTCACATTCGACTCAGAAAATTCTGAAACAAAATAGTTTAAGTGACACAGTTTTCTGTAGCTGTTCTAAATACACTCCTCCAGAGACTGGTTATAATAGTTGTCGCTGAAGAGATTTTAATCTGTTGAGGCTGGTGATAAAGAAATTGCGTTGTTTCAAGTTTAGAAAATGAAAGCGGAAGTAGACTTGTACACCAAGGCAACGTACTATACTAGCACCCTCAGGACTTAAACTTACCCTCAACAGGAGAACAGACTCTTGATACAACGAGCAACAATGTTCAACAGCAACCACCGACAACAGCTACGACTGACATGGACGAGGATTACGATATATTCAGACACGGTGCCCTGACGTTGCGAACTGTACTGGAATTGAACACTCAAAGACTGGGTTCTACCCAGAATACTTAGAATGAAAACGCTATTTTGATTGTTATGGATGTGGTGTAACTAACAACAGGCTTAGTTGTTGAAGAACTCTTGCTTGTGTAGATTGAGCCTGCCGCCCTTTTAACACGTTCTTCTTTTTCGTTTCGTGTTTCTTCTCTCTTATACAATCCACGGACACACAGTACAGTCAACCGTCACCAGTCACTTTATGCCTTTTGCATTTCATTACCCGCCGCTGTACTTCTAAAAAGCCACATTTTTCCCTCTTTCTTTTTCCTTGAGTGCCTCTTGAAATGCTCTTTTTAAATGTTCTAACAAAAACACATGAATTTGGCACATGAATTGTACACGTCCTTTAATATTATCCGCTACACTTTTCAACGAAAACTTTTCGGATCAGTGTATGAGTCTGGGAAGCTGCCCACCTACCCCTTCCTTGGCCAACCTTTTGTCTTGAGTGAAAAGTAAAGGTTAATGTTTTTCTAGGGGAGGGGTAGGTAGTTAGTTTCCCAGAATCTTTGCTGAAAAAGAAGAAAAAAGTAAGAACACAAACCTACAAAGGATCCTTTCTCGTGCAAACGCGCATTTAATAATTATGAATAATTTAGTGAGTTCATGAAACGACTCACGGAGAATGCAGAGAAACGTTTATGTGAATTAGATGAACTTGCGTTCCGCCTTTTAGCGATTATGGCCAATTCGTATTTTGGCAAGGAGTGCATGCAAGTTTCAACATAGACAGGAAGGGGGGATTCTTTATCAGCTCCATCTCTTTCTCTCAGTCGTGTTTGCAGCATTAATGGATCAGGGCCTTCAGGATTCATTTGGAGAAGCCAATGCCTTGTGATTACCTTCACCTTGTCGTTCTTAGGGCTTGTGATGTGTTGGTGTAGTCCATGGTGCTTGAGGTACTTGTTAAGCTCTGGCACTCGAAGCTGTTTCAGTTTAAGCCCAGTGATGGCAGGAGATTGAACTCTTCGATTAAAGAGCACCAAAGTATGCTTGGGAAGCTGAAAAGCGTATTGAAAGCCGTGAAAGAACATGATTCTACGCTTTTCCTGTCTAATGGGCTTATCTTGAAGCAAGGAAAAGAATTTGCTCACGACTTGAATGTAAAGCAGATCAAGTGCGTCGAGGCTAAGGTGCAAAAGGTAACGCGGGATACAGAGACACTAGAAGAAAGTAAAGACAGTTTTCGTAGCATTTTCAAGGGCCTACATAGAGACCGAATAAGCAAGGGAAGAAGAAAAAAAGAAAACCGTCGAAAATCGAATGCAAGAAAAAAGAAAAGGTTTGAAAACAACGTCCAACGAGTGTATACTATTTGTGTCGGAAACCCGCTAGGTAATGATCTTCCGAAATGTCTTATGTATCCTCCTTGCCTTGCCGTCCCTGAAGGGTGCATCGACGTTGAGAAAGTTTCCGAATTTTTTTTTGATCGAGATGCGGCATACATTGCAAAGCTCTTGCAAGGAAACCATTTCAGCAACGCCGCAGGAAGCAGAATTATCACAAATCTCAAGCCGGAGGTTAGAGATAACGTGTACTGCTTCATGTACCCTGAAGAGTATGCTATGACTGAAAACGACGAAAGCGACTCTAGCAGGAGCACGAGCGATGAGGAAGAGCTTGGCAATGATGACGAAGAGGAACATGAGCAGAGAGACGTTGCACAGCACTAACCTGATAAAGAATCTTTTAATGATAGTTTCCTAGCTTTGAAAATTGTTGTCGTGGAACTGAACGCTGTCATGTAAACGCAGAACAAAAGTTTTTGATACATTTATATACCTTTTGCTTTTTTCTGTATTTGTAGTTTTATTTAATAATAACACACCGTGTCAACTCTACATGAACTAAAATATTTCGCGTGACCCCCCCCTTCCCTCCGTTTTTTTTTGCGTGCCCCCCCTTCCCCCCAAATCCCACCCCCCCTACCTCGTAAAAAATGAACGGTCCCTTAAATAGACTTATTTCAATGAATCTGACACTTTTTCCAGGTACTTTTATCAGCATCATGACTTATATAATCATCTGATGCCCTCGCCCTGCGCAAAAACGATGTAACTTATTTAAACTTGATCGATAGTCTAGCGCGCCAAGTTGTCGGTTAAGAATTTACACGGTTGCAGTGCCAGTCGTTTTTGTTTGGTTTCCCTCGCAATTTCAGTACCAACAAGAGAGAATGTGACGACAAATATGTTATACGAGAAAAAAACAAAGAGGCATGATATATATGTATTTTAAATATTATTGAATTATTTCCTCTGTCGGTTCGCTTGTAAAATATTTACTTTAAGAAAAATACTGCAGTTATCCGCTGACCACCACTCAAGGTGACCGCTTTTTACAAGTTATGAGAACATCGTTTCTCGGTCCCAGACCTCGTTTCCCCCCCCCCCCACCCCTGCTGCACAGTGCGACACAAAAATATCATAAATCAAGAAGATATTTGTAAAATATCACAAGCCACAATGTTTGATAATTACCTAAATAAAAACACGTTGTAAATGGCAAAGATTAATGGGTTTTGAAATTCACAAAAATCGGGTCTGAAGTCACTTTTCAAATTGAGCAAACATTATCGTTTTACATAATGCATGACAAGTTCAAATAGATATTCGTATGATGGCTTATTCAACTGACGGCGAGCATTCCCTCCATCCTTTACCACCCCCGACCCTCCCCGCACTTCTTAGAGCCACTTCACAATACAGCCAAAAAAAAAAAATGAAACATTTTCTACAGTGATTCCAAAGGTAGCACCATTTTCTTCCTCTATTTAATGGGTTGCTGCGGAATGTCTTTACTAGGCAGGCATAAAAAATGTTTTCACCAATACTGATTGTGCCATGTGACTCTAAGGTTCACCTCAGCTTTAAGCTTCTCGCTTTGTATATCCCAAGCAGTAACTGATGCCTCACTTGCAACATACGCTGTCTGCCCATCTAAACTGAGTGCAATTCCACAAATTTTAGTAACGTCATGACCACTTTTGTTTGCGTCTTGGATATCCATCATTTCTATTTCATTCAATTTCCACCGCAAGAGACGTTGCTCGTCAAGAAAATAAATTAAGTTGTTACAGAAACGATGTGTACCAATGACATCACCAAAGGAAAACGCGCAATCATTAAAAGATTCAAATTTCTCGAAAACATAAGACATGTCATATGAATTCTTTAAAGAAAATGTGTTGTGAGTATCCTTAACAACACTCAAACAAAATAAACGGGAAACAACGTTTTCTACATAACAACAAAAAAGAAATCGATGATTGGGTGAAAACTTTACCATTCCACACACATCTGGGGTGGCTGCCTGTGCTAGTTGTCTGAAACCACACCTCACATCAACCAAACTTATTAACCCCGAACAATAGGAAATTGCGAGAAGTCTACCATCGCCAGAACACGCAAATGATAAAATGTTTTCATTTGCGAGGATTCGATCGACCTCTGAGCCATTTTCCAAGCTCCACAGGACAAGACATTTAGAATTCTTCAGGCAATTAGTTAGAATCTTGGTCTTGTCGCCGGAAATAGAGCAAACTGAGAATCTACAGTTACTTCCGGGAAAAAGCGGTTTCAAGTCTCCGTCCATAGTATAGGCCTGACTTAGAACCCCAGGTAAAATACATTCCTTTGTAGGGTGAAAAACAACAGAACGAAATAATGAAACATCTTCAGAAGGTGAATTTCTGGCAAGCCCGGTGGACAAGGAAACTTTGAAACTCTTTTCTACTGCGACTGGACGTGTCCACATTAGCTTGCCAGTCTGGAGTGACCACAGCTGCAGCATTCCGTCTTCACATTCACGCACCATATAATCCAACTGTGGAGAGACGTCCAAACAGAGCACAACAGATGAACATTTAAACTGGGCTACAACACCTCCCTGTTTCGTTTCCATGTGAACAACCTCCATATATGATATTTCAGGATACTTATTTTGCAGAAGATTCAACGCCTCGACAGTGAACACTTTTCCTCCTTGGTTAAGTATGGTTTGAAGAAAAGTACGAGGAGTATCCGTAAATCTACGGAGGTACTTTCTTAAAAGAAACAACAATGTGTCCAGAATATTTTGGTTGTCTTTTGATAACAATGTAAAAAAACCCTGCTTTTTAAGCCAAACAAGATCTTCAGCCGCTATTGTCCAGTTTAATCAGGTCTTAGCATACACTATTTCTAAATCTATAATGCAGGCCTTTGTCAGTTCGTCCAGTTTATGTGGCTCTCTCTTGACGCCTTCGTGTAGCATGTGATATATTCCATGATACAGCGCGTACCTCTCAGTGACGCTAAATTGTATACAATGCACACCTTTCCGTTTAAGATTTTCGAGTTCGTCAGTACACAGGGCTGCTAGTATACGGTGTCCCTCACTTTCATCCGTAATGAATTCATGCTCCCCATAACATGAACCGTCTGTTAACCAGTCTTTAACTGACTTGTACGTGAATGACATGAAGACAACCATCACAGATAGGGAGAAGTGCAGATACACTGCTCAAGACTTTCAGCACTTTACGCTTTGCAAGTTTTGAATTAAAACTTAGTTCTAATACCTTAGAAACAAAATCAACTGGTAGGGGTTGCCCTGAAGCAGCAATGGCAGCTAACAGATTCAGGAAATGTTCTCCTGTTATGTTCAATTCTTTCACGAGTTCACGTTCCAAACGTCTAAAATAGGAATGATAAACTGAAGAAATTCCTAGCGGTAAATTGCGGACATGATCATCTTCTTCGTGGAAAACTGATGAATTTTCAGTAACCTACAATATGAGAAAATGGGCGTACAGCATCAGTCCTTTAGATTTCAAAACTAGTCGTTCTACAAACTCGCCCACATTTCCTAGTTTGACAAAGTGCTCCAGTTTTCTTTGGAAAAAGACTCTAACGTCTTCTAAATTCTTTTCATCATCACACTTCAATTGAAAGGGATTCAGATGTCGAAGACTTTCTGCAATGTTTAAAGCGGGACGCGTCGTGACAAGAAAACGAATCCATAAAGGAAGCTTACAAAACTGATGGGACAAGTGACAAGCGAGAGACTGAATCATCAACTGAGGCTTACAGTAGCGTATATTGTTATACTGACAAAAATGGCTTCCTGACAGCCTGTCAGCCTCTTGCATTCTCTTGCAAATCACAGCTGCGATGACAGATTTTCCCACTCCTGCATTTCCACTGATCACCATCACACGGTTTTGAGAGCTTGTGTCATCCAGCCAGTTCTGAACCCTGTCAAAGATCCACTCACTTGTGCCTTCTTGAAATCGTTCCGCATAATACTCAATGTCTCCTCTGAATTCCGCTTTTTTGGCTACGCACATTAACAAACGTAAATTTTAATCACGTGAATAAAATAAAGACAAGATATAAAGTGTTGAGATTAAACGTGCAGTTGAGCGAGGTTCTGAGAATGGCGTTGAAACTGAAGGCACCCAAGAGAGCGACAACGACACTGAAAATGATAGTGAGGAAACAGAAAGTAGTAGCTCTGAAACGTCCACCACCTTTCACTCTAAAAGTCCCTCTGAACATTGCGAAAACTCTAATGTGTACTCCACATTGATCATGAAATGTCCTAAATGCTTTTGGCACGATAACTACAAGATTTGTCCTATATGCGATCACCAGATCCCCGAGGAGAGAAAATACATCAAAGAGGGCTTTCTTCGGTGTCACGATTGTGGATTAATTACACACAAAAACGCCAAGACGTTGGAAACCAATTTCTATTCACCTTCTAAAGAGGAGAACGAAGAGGAGGTCTAATTTCCATCCCTTCCACATCGCTGTGTATTTGACTGTTTTTGTCACTGGTTGTTGGGGCAAATTTTTTTCCTTTTGTTTTTCGTTTTCTCACTTACTTAGTATCGTGTTTTCTTTTTCTTTTCGCTCCGGTATCTCGTTAATTACGCTCCTTTGTTACGTGCTGTATGTAAATTTCGTTATAGTTTATTATCTCGCCCTTATTTATTACCAGTTTTACGGATCTATTAGTGTAACAACATTCGTCGAAGTAGGTTTTTTCCTCGGTGGCCCTGACCACCAACCCTGTCTTCCTCAGCATTTGGTAAGCAGCTTTGTTTTCATCTTTTTTTCATTAATTTCATTTTGCAGTCGCCTTAAAGTAGTTTTTCTGTTATGTAACTATTATTTTTTTTACCTCTTTGTAGGAATTTACTTTTATGGTTTGGTAATAGTAAAACATTTGCTGATCGAGAGTTTACGTTTTGTGTTTTGGAATTGGCCCTTGCCCGTTCACTTTGTATGGAATTGGCCCTTGCCCGTTCACTGGTTTTCAATAAAGTTTTTAAAACTGTATCTCGTGTCTTGTCAATTTATTTGTCGCGTGTTTAAATTGATCCTTGTTAAGTTATTAATTGTTTGTGTTTTTACAATAATAAGTCAAGGCACCCCCTTGGGTCTAGCTGTAGAGATGAACTAATTTGTATTCACGTTTGGGCTTGTTAACCCGCATAATTAACTGACTAACGCTAACGGCGCTTGAATTGACAAGACCATAAGCGCATCAAGCGCTGAGATTTCAATAGTTAGTCTTTTCCTCGAGATAGAACGGAGAAAACGCTTTCGTAATGGTGAGTCAAAATTGAAATAGAAAGTTTTCAGCTCCACTCTGTGTATGTGTGTGTGTGTGTGTGTGTGTGTGTGTGTTTTGTTTATATATCCGATTTTTAGCGCTAAAAAAGAAGACATGTGTTGCTAGGCGATCGCACCTCTTATTCCTATTTTTATAAATAGACTTTCCACTCATTAGGAACAAGAATGGGGTTTATTTAAGAACCAAAAGGGCTAGGGTTTACTTTAGAACCACCTGTTGTTTTCTATAGAATTTTCATACCCTGTGCAATACTTTCTACAAAGTCAAGTAGACAAAGATTGACATTTTTGCTTGATAGGCAGTTTTTCGCTTCGCTGAGCTTCGACCTCGTTTTCATGTTTTGCCTGAAAAATTTGTACGATTTCACATTCGCTTAACCTCCTTTTCCCTTCTTTTGAAGTAAAGATTTTTCAGTTAACCTCCGTGTCTTGGTTTTGTTTATAACCGATTTTTAGTGAAAATAATTTAATGATTAAAGATTTTTCATTTAGTATAATCTACAAAGATAACACGTTCAAAGTTTGCCCGCTTTTATTTTGAACACATGACAGTTTCTACAATATCCAATCAGAAGACTATAGCAATCAATATCTAATCAGAAGACTGTAGCAAATAGCTAATTATATAAAAATCACTTTTCTGTTTATAGATTATGATCTCAACATTTTTTGATGACGTCAACTCTAGGAAATTCTGACGTCACTTGCTCCTTGCCAGCTAAAAATAAACTATGACATCATCCTATCTTAATGAGATGCATGATGTCATCTGCGTTAATTTATACCGCACAAAAAGTTAGTTAAATCCGCAAAGAACCGGAGTAACCGGTGCCTCCCCTACTACTAACAGCAGCTCCGACAACAGCTACAACTGATATGGACGAGGATTACGATATATTCAGACACGGTGCCCTGACGTTGCGAACTGTACTGGAATTGAACACCCAAAAGACTGGGTTCTACCCATAATACTTAGAATGAAAACGCTATTTTGATTGTTATCGATGTGCTGTAACTAACAACAGCCTTATTTGTTGAAGAACTCTTGCTTGTGCAAATTGAGTCTACCGCCCGTGTTTCTTTTCTCTAATCATATTTCGATGCTAGGAAATTTTGGTATATTTTTGTTCTTGCGATCTTGAAAACTAATCCGTTTTCTCACCAGCTGTAGAAGTACAACTTCATTCAAAATTTGGACATTTAGCGCTTTTTTGTATATGTCTGAAACGACTAGAACGAATTTTTTAAAAATCTCTTCACATAATCTTCATAGTGTATATAATAATGTCTGAAACTGTCCTTAAGACTGACTCACTGCAACACCTTGAAATTTCAAGACAAACCTATCCTACGAACCGGTCAAAAATCCGCGCTGCAACATTCACTGTTTTGAAGTTATGCTAATTTTTCCAAATTAATGCGGACAATAGTAAATTCAGTCATGTCCATGTTAACCTGTGATCAGGGGGTCCTTCTTCCCTTTTTTGTCAATTTGTATGTGAGACGAAGAAAAATCCGACCTGATCGCAGGTTATGAACTTTTATACAGGAGACATAACTTTTTACAAACATTGTTTTTGTTCTTCAAATTTGTAACGAGTGAAACAATAGGATCCTTTGTTTCAAAAAACAAATGGCTTCTGCAAGTTGACACATTTTAAAACGACAGCAGGAGTTTCGCTAGGACTGCAGTTCATGATCAGTGGGGTAACATGCAAATCAGCACAAGAACTTGAATTGTAACGCAAAGATATTGGTCCAGCATACCTTAAAAATATATGTGAATTCATCCGGTCAATATTGCTCTAGCTTGTGTGGTTAATTTGATGGACTTCAGGAATTTCGCAGTAGCATCAGCAACCTTTCAGGATGTTCCAAATACACCACTAGAGAAGATGATCCTGTTGGGATCAGCTTTTACACTTGACTTGTATATTCCCTGAAAAGTCTTTAAAATCGGTCTAAATAAACGATTAAAAGCAGACCGTCTTCGGATTATTCTACAAACAACTGGCCGGTGTGAGATGAATATAAATCCGTCTCTGTTGTACCAAAAACTTTTTAGGTGACATTGCCGGTTTCAAATAAAATATATTCGAGGATGATTACATGCAGGAAAGTCAAATTCGTAAATATATTTGGATTGTTTAAAGGGTGATCAGCTACACGAATTGTTGGAATCAAAAAGCGGAAGTGAATTTGCTAATTCAGGGGCAAAAAAAGCCAATTAGCTTTTGTACACTAACCACTCGTGTGACTAACCTACCTTGGGACTCAGCTCGCCCTCAATAGGAG